CCGAATGAAGTTTGCTTCTATTAATCTTTCAACCTCCTTCACATCGGCCAATACCTCTTCTTTGTATATCTTCCGTGGAGGTTGTTTGTAAGGACGAAATCCAGGTTTAATGGGTAATCGATGCTCAACAATGGAACGATCCAATCCAGGCATTTCCGTGTAATCCTAAGCAAAACAATCTTTAAACTCTTTCAACAGATCTATCACCTTTGATTTATATTCTGGGTCTAACTTTGCACTAATATACATTGGCCTTGGCTTAGAACCATCACCAACATCAATTTCTTCCAACTTATCAGCCGACATAAAACCACGTCCCAACTTTCCTTTGTTGCCATCGACAGGATTTCCCATTAAAATTACTATGAGAGCCGATCGCTTGGATCGGTCAAGTTGGCCCTCATTGAAAACATTTACAGGACCTTCTTTCCACACTTTTCCGGAGAAACAATCGACGCCTTCATATTCCCAAGAGGGTAGATTCGTGGCGGCAACACTTACCGAATCATCGATGTACAACTTCAACGTCATCTCCAATCCATTGAATGAGAATTTGATGCATGGTTGAAGGAATGCAACAATTAGCATGGATCCAATCTCCGCCCAAGAGTAGACTATATGCCCCTTGCCATCAATGACAAAAAGGTAGTAATCGAGTTTTCGACCCAATAGTCACCGACATGGATAGCACCTCGGGTATCGGAAGGGTTGCCAAAGAAAGTCCCTAAGCACCATGTCGGGCTTTTCAACAATTCTTCATTAGTCATTCCAAGCTTTACAAGGTAGTATAAGGCATGATATTGATAGCAGTCCCTCCATCAACAAACATCTTAGTTAAAGGCTTGCCATTGACATATCCCTTTAAATAGAGTGGTCTCAAGTGACGATTCTTGATTGGTTTGTCAAAAACAGCCTGCTGTGTTAATACAAGCTGGGCCATCAAATCCTGACATTCATTTTCATCAAAATCAGAGTACACCTCTTCTTGGACATCTTGGCTTTTGGGAGCTATAAACTCTGATGGGAGGAAGAAAGCCATGCAAGCATCAGCCGAAGGACCACATTCATCAGGCTTCTTAGGACGCCATATTTGCTTTGTTTCGGTAACTTCCTGCTTCAACTCCCTATTCCTCAACCGTTGAACTCTTCTTTTCTGACTTTTCCTCAGGCCTGGAGGACACCACTGTCCTTTTTGCCATACGTATCTATAGGAATCAGCTTCTTCATCATGCACCCTATCATGAATCCAACCTTGACCTGCAAATCTTTTCCTTTGCTGATTCTCAAAATCATCTATTTTTAAGCGCCGGTCATCTTCAGGAACCTTCGTTCCAAGTCTTTCATAGACGGGACGGCGGTTGACTCGAGATTGCCTATACTCGGAGTACTGAGCACTACACTCCGGACAATTATTTCTAGCAGGCAACCTCAAGCCTTCATTCCAACAATGCCTAAAGAATGAACAACCCCAATGAGACCGCTCTCCTGCTCATCATGTATTCTTCTTGCTCCCTTCGATATACCTCTTCCTCATACCTCCCAGCATTCTTCCATAAACCATTGCTTCTTATAGTATCCCTTCTCTTGCTCTCTCTCGCCACTTGTTTAGCAAAATACGTGATGTAACTCGGGTTTGAAGTTTGACCTTTCTCGGTTCGGCTATTCTCAAACCGAACTCGTTGTTCTTGACTCTCTCATCGGTAACTTGCCGATCCGGGTCAATGACACCACTTTTCTTTGCTCTATCGTAAGTCAACACCTTCATCTTGCCTTTACCTTTGAGATCATTGGCGGAGACCATATTCACAAGAGAAAGAAATCATATTTTGTGGAAAAGGTCGATCATCAATTCTCATCTTGCCATCAAACTTCAAAATGTCCCTCTTGGATAGCTTTCTCGGATTCGTATTCTAACACTCGGCAATCATTGATAGAGTGAGAATTAGTGTTATGGAAGCCACAATACTTTTTGTCTTTCACTCCTTGAGATTTAGCATGGGATGTCCTTCCGCAACTTGATGCGTCCTTCCTTCATCAATAATGCAAAAGCTTTGCGCCTTAGTAACATCAAAATCATAGGTTCCATTTTGTTGTTTCAACCAGCGTTGACTAATTTGAGTAGGCTCCTTTGCCCAATTCAACTCAAATTGCAGACTATCTCATCTTCATCAATATACTCGATCGCTTCCTCCGTAAAACCTTGATACACCTCATTAGTGGCATTGTTCTTCCGAAAGCGATTATCTCTCTGAATCCTTGGGCCTGATTACTCATAGTCGCTAAAAGCGTTGTGCAAGTTGGCCAAGATCATCAAACTCCATGCCGAACAACTTCTCCCGATATTCGCAACATTCTCGCTATAGCTATTCGGTAGTTGATCATCCGGTAAATTCAGAGAATAACACATATTCTTGGTTTTCCTGAATCTGCGAAGATATTCCAATGGTGTCTCATTTGTTCTCATCCTCGGACTTATGAGATCGACCAACTTCTTCTCATTAGTACTCGTGTAGAAATATGAATGAAACTTCGCTCTAGCTCGCCCGCGCACCAATGGAATGAGTCGGTAAAGACGTGAACCACGTGAAAGCTGGGTCCTCAAAGAGACAAAGGAAAATATCGAATCCTCCAAGCTTCATCTCAAGCGGCTTCTCCAAGCTGCATTAAGTACCGATCGACGTGCTCTATGGTACTAGTATCATCTTGACCGTAAAAACTTGGTCGATCTGTTGGAGGCTTCACCCTTGGAGGTAACGCCACTCTGTTGTACCACTGGATAAGGAGACTTGTATGAATAGGATTGATTTTTTGGCTTCAAGTGAACTGATTACGCATCATATCGACCATCCTGCATCAAAACATCAATGCCCTAATCCTGATTTCCTTGTACCACGCACTCTGAAAGGCAATCTCAAGCACTCCTATACCTGGATTTGGCACACGGCATTGATAGCATTGTAATCAAGAAATTCTTGATACCCATCTCCATACATATTCTTCTACAAATCATTTGATGTTTGGAGAAACTCTATAAGTCGAAGTGGCACTTCTCTGTGGTACCAAATGTTACCCAGCCATAGGTGGGATGTGATTGCTTTTCAAAGAGTCAATCCACCTATATTTGAAGTCGATGCTCCTTCTTTTCCAACAGCTTCTCTTGATGCTTTGGAACATTGAAAAGTGTCGGTCCACCGAGTGGGCCAACATTTTCTTCAAAGTATTTATCAACCATTGGACCAAAAATCTGATCATGATTGCCCGAAAGGTATTCGTAAAAGTCGTGTGAGGGTTTGTCATGGTTTCTCCCATAGCTTTATAAACCGGTATCTGCCATCTTCCGAGCATCCTCCTCTTCATTAATCAGTTTGATGTGGAAGAAGAACCCTTGGCATTGACCTTTTTTGAAACACTTTGTTGCTCTTGTTTTTGGAAAAAGACATCAAACACTTCCGTTGGTATTGCTCACATGCTTGTAGCACTAAATCCCTGTAATTATCTGGCAATTCTGCCATGCTCACATCCAGAACATGATCATTGTTGATCTCAGACGCCATCTTGAACTAACAGACGGTCCCACCGGGCGTGCCAAAAAGTGTGTTGACACAAAATGTGACGCACTGTGCCTCACACACAGCAAGCCGGAAAGCGTGGCTTCAATCGGGTGCCCGGGTGCTTCGTGATCCGAAACGCGTGCCAGTCAGTTTGACCTGAAAAAAACTAACAAGGGATAAAACAGTTAAATGCCAAACCGGAACATGTCGGGTGAGACCAGACAGCTCCATATATACGGCCCTGAAGCCACTTACAACGACATACAACTATAGGAAGTCATGCGCCCAACAAGTTTATAAACCATTCGGCTAATCGTAAGATGAACACACGTAAAGATCCGATTGCCGAATGCATGTGCATGGGAAGACATGTTTGAACAAGTGAAATTAATTATGCGTTAATGCATATCCAAGCTCAAAGAGATCCGGTAGAGTTGGGGTCCATGAAGAAGGAACGTGCAAATAAACACGATTAAGCTAATCTAAAACCTGCATCTGCCGCACGACACCTAGTTTCGTCAAAGCTTAAACGTAATTAACATGCATGAACCCACAACATGTGACAATCTAGATTAAAATAATTCAGCCATTATGAGCATGTTATCTATTTGCAAAGGTAATATGAAAGTAATGATCATTGAAGCATGAATAAAATCATAGGAGAGGGCGAACAATATCAATCTAGATTGGGCGTAAGTGTGTTACAAATATATAAAATATTTAAAACATGCAACACAGGGATAACTTAATGAATCTATTTAGATTTTGCCGTATCTAATAGAGCCGATAATTGTCTTGCTTTCACTAAGCATATTGAGCAAACGCATGCCGCACGGTATCTACTCATAAACAAAGCATAAGCAAAGACTTCTTGATTGTCAAGCAAAGATCCGCCGCATGATCATTGAAAACAAACAAGACTACTTGCATCACGTCTAAATCCACCGCGTGATACTAAACATGATAACAAGGTTGTCGGAACTTACGGAGGTCGACGGATCGATGACTCCTCTCGAAGAACTCGACGACACGACAAAAGGACTCGAAAGTAGGCACGGGGCCGGTTGTATTGATTTGGTTGTGAACGCCTATTACAATGGTCGAGGGTCAATATTTATACCCTAGACAAAACACGAGTCCTAAAAGACTACGATTTACAAAGGAACTCTTAAACAAACTTGGAAACTACGATTCCTTGCCCTAAACTCTCAGAGTCCTTTATTATTACAACTTTCATCTTTTCGATCGGCTTTGCTTGCCATCTTCTGCTTTCCCGAATGGAGTCACCACCTTCTGAAGTAACCGACCGCACAAGCATTTAGCCGACCGCTCATTTTGTTTGCCGAATGTCCTTCTTCCCACATGCGGGCCCACCTGTCATCTTCCAAAGTCGACCAAAATCCAGTGTTAACACAAGCATCTAGACTACATTAGTGTTTAGCTGGTGACTTACTTGTGGTAGCCTGAGGCAATCTTCTTGGCTTGCTTAACATTTGTTCCAGAACTTGGTACTGGTACAGCTGCAGGTTCTTCTGCACCAGCAGCATCTTGTTCATCTTCATCTTCTGTAGGTACCTCCACAAGAACAGTCCTTGAACTCTTTTTCAGGTAAACAGCCATCTCCTTCCTAACTATTGCTGGAGGATTAGGACATTTTATTGCATCTCCATACCCCCCAGCAAGGTGCTGCTTGAATCTGCATATTCCGGCTGGGACTACCTCCCTGCAAAATATGCACTGCACAAAGTCCTTCTTGAAGGATCTGGCCACCACCCATACTTCCATCCTGGGTCTTGAGATCTTGCCTTTCTCTTTTTGTCAACAGCTTGGGCAGCAAGATCTGGAGGTAGTTTTGCTATAGCCCTCTCAATTAGGGAAGGAATATCTTTCAGAGTAGATGAGGAAGCCATGGCAGCAGGATCTGACCCAACTGATGAATCTGGAACACCTCCTTCAAGGTCAGGCGGAGGCATGTACACTTCCACATTTGCACATCGTCGGTCCACATCTGCAGAAGAACAACTTCTTAGGATGGACGATGGAGAGCCATAGAATAGCAGAGAGACAGCAGTACATCACAGCAAGCAATCTAGCAGTTTAGCAGAGAGCCAGAGAGGCTGCAGAGTGAAGGATGGGGGAGGAGGGAAGAAGATGGAGAGGGGAAATGCACATACCGTCATCGGAGCAGCTCATCACGAAGAACGACGACCACTTGACCTAGCAGAGGGCGCCGCCGGCTACACAGCTCACCAGAGAGGAGAATAGTTTGTGAGGGAGGAGAATAGGTCACCAGAGACAGGGAATAGAGCGTAGGGGAGGAGGAATCGTCCGCGGGAGGGAGGAATTGTGCGCGGGAGGGAGGAAACACGCACGCGGGAGACTGGAGGCGCACGGGGGGGAATTGCGGCGTGTGCCTGCATGCCTCCTGCTTTTTGGTGTCTATTCTAACCCTAAGAGACCAAATTGCAAGCCCAATAGGCCACATATAGGCCTGGTTAAACAGGCCCAAAAAAACAGAGCAACCAAATTAGTCGTTCCTATCCTAGTCGGACGATTAATCGCGATTACTCTTCGATTAATCGGACGACCAGCTTTCTGATCGAGCTGGTCGCCTCGGTACCCCAAATTGGTTACTAAGGACCGATAAGGATGATTAGTCGCGATTAATCACGATTAATCGAACGACTTGAAAATATTGCTTTTGATGCATAGAAATAGACTTCTTTTCATCCAAGCTGAGACTTTTCTACGCTTATCCTTGATACAATGTGTATTCAAATCATGGCTACCCAATGCATAGAAACCAGGAACAATTTTTTATGCATATTAATCAACAGGCAAACTAATGTATTTTTACGACAATTGTTTTTCCATGATGTTTTTATCTGATTTTTGGTTGCAGCCTTGGATGAATAGGTGGTTTGTAGAAAATGAAGAGCTACCAACGCAGGCAAGCATGATTTCTGTGCAATTGATTTTTTATTTCTATGCTTCTTGAGCCAACCGTGTAAGCAAGAACTTATTTAGAAGATTTCTATACATTGTTGGAGCACAATTTTATACATTATTGGAACACAATTTTATACATTGTTGGAACACATTTATATTTAATGCTGGAACACATTTCCATACATAGTCACGTGCACATATATATATGGATCTGCCGACGAAGGTGATCTCTCACGTTATTTTCTTATGCACACTTGTCATATGGCCATCACAGACAACCCGTTAAATGGAACACCCGGCTGCATGCAAGACCTTGTGTGTTAAATTTTTTATGCTTCCTTATGACCTTGTGTCTATGTGATTTGAATACAAATTGTGAATTAGATGATTTGCAGGGATGTCGGCCACTAGTTCTAGAAAATTATGTGCTTGTGCTACTATTTTTACGCTTGCCGTGATTTTTGCATTAATGTAGCTGACATTAATTTCACGAATAGGTTTCTATGCAGCTGATGGACGTGTATGAGGATCTGGAGCTGCACTGGATGGCGAACCCAGCTGCTTCGTGCTGGAGGTGCTGAGGATGGTTGGATACAAGCGCGAGCATCTCCTGGCATTTAGAAATCATCATCTAGAATTCTATACACTGTTGGAGCACATTTTATACATTGTTGGAACGCAATTTTATACATTGTTGGAGCACATTTATATTTAATGTTGGAACACATTTATATATATTGTATTAACAGTTATCCATGCATTCTTGAAAGACATTTCTATACTTTGTTGTTACAAATTTCTATACAATTATTATCAATAATGGCTCTTGCAGTTTGTTTTCATGTACTTTGATTGTATGATCTGTTGGTCACATCCAGCAATCTATAATTTTTTCTAGATTTTTTGGTCGTGATTTTTGCATTAATGTAACTGACATTAATTTTTACCAATAGGTTTCTGTGCCCGCTAAAAGTTGTTTCTAAACCTTTCTTACTCCTGTAAGGTTTATGTGCCTGTCAACATTTTTGTGTGCCTTTTTTTTGCCGTTGTAAGGTTTCTACGCCTGCTAAAATATGTTTATATTCCTGTCTTACCGTTGTAAGGTTTTTCGCCTACTAAAACATATTTCTATGCCTTTTGTTGTGATGTAGGATGGCTAGAATGAATTCCTCTCCATTTGGTGTGAGGGCGACGGTGGCTCAGACAAAGGACATGGCCTGCAACGTTCATGACTTCCTTGCCTTGCGGCGATGGCGTAGTGTGATCTTGATGTAGTTGATGGGTTAATGTAAAAAGTTGATGTAGTTGATGTTACAACAAATTTCTATACATTGTTGGAGCAGTTATCCGTGCACTTCTACACAATTTATACATTGTTGGAGCACTCTTTTATGCTTTGTTAGAACACTTCGACATACATTGTTGGAACAATTATTTGTATGCTTATACATAATTCTATATATTGTTGGTACGCAATTCTATATATTGTTGGAATTGTTGTCTGTACATTTTTACACAATTGTGTACACTGCTATAACACAATTCTATACATTGTTAGAGCTCATTTTTATTTAATGTTGGAACACATTTCTACATTCTAGGAACAGTTATCCATGCATTGTTGGAAGACTTTTATACATTGTTGAATGACATTTCTATCCATGTAGCTAACATTAATTTCAAAAATAGTTTTCTACTCCTACTAAAACAGGGGGAAGCATGTTGTGAGATGGGACCATTATGGATAGTCTACCCTAGTGGGTAGTGTTTTATATGTTTGTATGCATTGTTTCTCTATTAAATAAACATCCACCTAAAGGAAAGCACAGTGTGGGTGGGGTTGTTACAATGTTCGTTATAATAATCCCCTAGTGGGAAGGGTTTCGTGGGTTCCTAAGCATTGTTCCTCTATTAAATAATCATCCTCTAGTGGAATGTCCATCTCGTGGATAGGTTTTTATGCGGTAACAAAATTAATTTGTATTCATCAAACTACTAATTTCTATGCAATGTCGGTGCCAAAAATGTTTCTACGTATCTTGACCATTGATTCTATGAATTCGATTGTCCATCACATGCTATTTTCAAACTTCAAATTTCGGAGAAGACGAGATCGTTTCCATGTTTTTATGCTTGTGGTCTCCATGTTCTATGCATTGTTCTATGTTAATTATACATCCCTATATTAGGAAGCATGATACTGGTGGAGGCAATCACGGTTACGTCAGGTGGAATGTCCATCTCGTGGAGATATTTTTACATGGTAACAAAAATAATTTTTATTCATTCGACCACTAATTTCTATGCAACGTCGGCGCCAAAAACTTTTCTACGCATCTTGACCGGTGATTCTATGCATCCAATCGGCAATCACGTACCATGATTCAAATTTCAAATCTTGAAAAAAGACGAGATCGTCTACATGTTTCTATGCTCTTGCTCACAAGTTTCTATGCGTAGACAAAAGCATGATGTTGGTGGAGGCAATCACGGTTGTGCTAGGTGGAATGTTTATATTGCAGAGAGGTTTTTACGCGGTAACGAAATTATTTTTTATTCATCAAACCACTAATTTCTATGCAACATCAACGCCAAAAACTTTTCTACGCATCTTGATAATTGATTCTATGCATCCAATTGGTCATTACGTGCCATGACTCAAATTTCAAATTTATGAATTTTAAATTTTTTTTTAAAAAATATTCACAGTGGATCTTGAATCGTGCACAAAAATGTCAGGAGTTCAATGGTAAAAACCGTTTTTGAATCGAATGCTTCGTTGAGGAATTATAATGAAAAAAAACAAAAGAGATTAGATTGGATGTGTGTACCAGGTGGAACGTTCAGCTCGCGAGGAGGTTTGTATGCGGCAACGAATTAATTTTAATTCATCCAACTATTAATTTATATGCAACATCGCGATAAAAACGTTTCTACACAGCTTGAACTGAGTTTTTATGCATCCGATCTGTTGGGTCTACAGTGGTCCCTACCTGCACGCACGTCAACCCCACGGACCTAAATGGTTGGGCTGGCTAGGGGGCTGACTGGGGCTCTCCATTAGCTATTTGGAGCCCCAGGCTCTCAATATCCCAGCCCTATACTATATACTATATATGTATAACTAATAATAACGAGGCAAAATTTCAAACTATTTTTTTGTCCATCATCCCCTAACTAACTTTATAAATGTGAAAACTATGTCTATTCGTTTACCTATAGCCCCTGATGTATGCACGGCTTGAATATGTTCTTATTAGGTCAGCCCTGTTGCATCTTTCGTGCACCGTGCCGGAACAGTGCAATCTGGGAAAGCTACACAAGCACAGCATACGTAAGCATGGCATAAGTTATAGTTCAGGTAGAATACGTATATATGGAAGTTAAAAGGAACGAAAAAAGGTGAAATATATAGGAAAGATAAAAGGCCGATAAAACGAAACGTCTTGATGTAGAATAGCAAAGAAGCACACATCGGAATTCCGTGTCGACGACGACGAGATGATGTGCTGGACTGCTGGTGCCGGGCAGCCCTCCGGACCAGGGTGACAGGGCGCTCGTGGAGCGCGCTGCACCGGCCCGTGGAGCCCGTCGTCGAATCAGGCAGGTTGCGAACGCACAGGCGCGGCTGTCGCTGCTCGTCTGGATGCTGAAGGTGCAGCTGGCACAGGACGCCAGCGCGGGGGCACCCTCAGGACCGTGCCCCCTTCGCCAATCCCGTGGCGGTCGCGATCCGGGAGGCTGGACGCGTGCATGGGCATGGGCATGGGCATGGGCCTGGAGCCTGGTACAAATAAATTAAACTATTTTTAGCACCCAAATAAAATTTAAGGGCTGAAAGTTAGTTTTGTGTGCAAAGGAAGAATTGTTGAGGAGCATTATGGAGATATGGATATTGACAACAAACTTGAATTAAAAGAGTTCAAATAAGAAATGGCATGAGAAAATGTAGAAAACGACA